ATGAGATCTATGGAACTAAAGGTCAAGACAGTGACTTTATACCTCAAGATGGTCGCCAATACAGAGTAGATGTCGAATCTACTGCTTCTCTCTTTGCTCCTTCTTCTTCAAGCTCCAAAATCCTTCACAACCACACTAAAATCACAATCAAAGGCTCTCTCTCTCTCTCACTCAAGAAGGTGCAAGGCTCGAACTAGGGTTTCTTTGGGCTGTAAGAACGATGGAAGAGGCTGCAAATGAGCCATAAGTTCTTTAAATATGGTACAAATCTCTAAAAGTGAGGGTTTCTCTTTACAGTGCCTACTCATCGAGTCGGGGCCTTCAGACTCGTCGAGTAGATCCGAAATCCCGCGTCCGCATAAATGACCTCTACTCGACGAGTTGGAGCTCCCCAACTCGTCGAGTCCTAGAACAAATGTAACATCCAGAATCCTAGGTATATTAATTATGTGTTTATTTTTGGGGTTTATTGAGCTACTCGATGAGTTGTGAGTCCAACTCGTCGAGTAGAGTCGAGTTGACTACGTGGGATTAATGAGTGGACTTGACGAGTCAGAGAGCGGACTCGCCGAGTTGGTGCTGTGCAATGAAACCCAAAATCCCCGGGTTCGGGACCTATTTAAGGACACTTATAGCCTCATTTGCGGCTCATGAGCTGCCCAACTTCACTGAGAGAAACCCTAATCGCCCTTTGATCTAAAAGAGAGAGTGTTGAGCTAATATTGAGTATTTTGGTGCATCTTTGGAAGATAATAGAAGGATTTCAAGCAAGGAACGAGAAGAGGCTATTAGATCTGTTGCTATTCATCCAAGAGCTTTTGTAAAAGGTGAAAAGTTCATGCCTTTATCATTTTTATGGTTAGATCTCATGATTTTGGAAGGTTAGGGTTTATACGACCTTTATTTGGGACTTCGAGCTTACAGAGTTGTCTTGAGGTTTAGACCTCAGATCTTTACCTTGTGAGGTCCCTAGAGTCCAAAGGTCCCAACTTTATTCACCCATATGAAGGATATTGTGATTAACACATTGTGAGAGCATGTTTTGGTATGTTGGAGCAAAACTACCATGCATGAACGTAAATATCGAAGCCTTATGTAACAATGGAGTATTGGGATGCTAGATCCAGTGTTTGGAGTGGTAGAGCCGCTTTGAATCATCTGAATGAGAAATCAGATTGAAGGGACTCGCCGAGTCTATGAGCTGACTCGACGAGTCGGCTGGGGTTTTTCCCCGATGAGTCTGGGCATGGGTGACCTGGCGAGTTGGCGAGACAACTCGACGAGTCAAGGTGGATTTTCGCGATATGACAGAAGAAACATAATGGGACTCGACGAGTCACATAGATGCACTCGCCGAGTAGGGTCAAACATGGACTGTTGACTCGAGTTTGACTTCTGTTGACTTTAGGGTTTGGTCATGCATGAGTAATGGAGACCATGGAGGGGTAAAATGTTCTTTTACCCAATCCAAGAGCTAGAGAGGGGGGGGGCAGCCTTTTGATATATTGAGTTTGAATAGAGTATTAATTAGAAATATTTATCCTATTGTTAGGTGGAGGCTAATTCGAGATTTCCGTGTGCGCGATTATTACTTGTTAGCTTTCGAGGTGAGTCTTCTTACTATACTTACCATGAGTGGTACCTTTGTGTGACCAAGGTGTCTTATATGCTTATATTGAGAATTTTGATATCCTGCATTATGTCTATGTGATTTATGTTGCGTATTATTCTGAGCTACTAAGTTAGGACCGGATGGTCTACCCGAGTATGGGACCGGAGGGTCCCACTGAGACGCATTGACCGGAGGGTCTTATCTGAGTATAGCCATGAGAGGCTGCTGAGATATGTGTGATATTTTGGCGAACTCACTAAGCTTCGTGCTTACTGTGTTTTGTGATATGTGTTTCAGGTACTTTTTATGATATCGGGAAGGCGCCGACTCGATTTTACACACGAGAGAAAGAGTTATGTTTGGAGGATCCTGGATTTGTGATAAACAATTTTAAATAAAAATGTGTTGATAAATTGTTACTTGTGATTTTGAGGAAATGTGACATATGTTTTATTGTGTTTGAAATGAAAAATTTGTTGAAAATTTACGATATTACAATAAAACCCTAAAATTTAGAAAATTAAATAATACCTGAAACAGGTGTTACACTTTTCCTGGGATATGTCGTTTTAGAGGTCTCTACTCGTTACGTGTTGTTTTTGACTCAAAGGTCGCCCTTGCTTAACTACGTTTACGTTTTTCTGTTAAATTTAGAAGTTTTCAGGCCGTTAATTGCTTGTTGAACCGACACGGATACACCATTACTAGACAACCATTTTCTTTCATTATCCGGTATTTACAGTATATTATTTTTAAAAAAAAATCAGAATATATATATATATATATATATATATATATATATATATATATATATATATATATATATATATAACGGTTATTGTGGTGGTTTTCTTATTCTCAAGGAATTATATGTTGCATTTTTTCGAGCACCGCGCTTTTTTAAGAATCGACATGATTTAAATATAATAATTATTCATTTTAATATTATGTTGTGTAAAATTGACATTAAATTATTTATAATATAAAAATGTGTTTTAAATATAGCTTTCCTATTTAACAAATGTGAAATAGCATCTAATTTGAATTAATAATAGATAAAATTGCAAAAATAGTCCATGTGGTATTCATTTTTTTGGGGTTTTAGTCCAAACCATGATTTTTTTGGATTATTGGTCATTTTGAGGTAGTTTCGTTGCGTTTTTTGTCCCTCGGTAAATTGAAATGACTATAATGTCATTGGGGTATTTATTTTCTATTTTTCTTTCATTTTTTCTAAAATCTTATATTCATTTATTTATTTAAAAAATTAAAAAATAAGTAGGCCCTCTCTCTCTCTCTCTCTCTCTCTCTCCACACACACCATCGACCCAATATTTCTGGGTTTTCAAGAACTCAAGAACAAACACTTATTTTCATTTCTGGAGCAACCCACCACACTCCTTCTTAACACCTTTATTTCTTTCCTCTTTTTTAGATTTCTTTCCACCGAGTCATTACCGGATATTTGTATGATAATCTTCGGTTTGGGGACCTGAGAGGGATTCAATGACATATTGATTTAGGGGTATTTACATCTCCTGCTTGTGTGTGCTTCCATCAGACCTTGTTATTTCTCCAATTTCCAACTAATTGAGACCTTAGAAAAAGATGAGGAACATTGATCTACCTGCCAAATCCGACCACCCCAACCTCGAATTCGAAGTCATGAATTGTACTGTCAAGCAAACCGACCCAAACATCACATATGTTGTCTATATTTGTGGAAAGAAAGAATTTGCGCCTGATTCAGAAACAAAAGTCCAGAGATCCAAATCGACTTCCTCGATCGATAATCTGATGTTGAACAAGTTGAGAAACGATCTGGAGAGCTTTTCGGAGGATAAAAAGAACAGAACTTGATGTAAGTAAGGGAGAGAAATCGGGGGATGTATAATCTTCATGGGTTGAATTGCGAATTCCTTAAAGTCCAGAACTATGGAATTGAAAAGGATAGGAGGAAAAAAGAACAAAACCCTAAAGTTTAAAACCCAATTAATTTTATTATCGGACTTCGAAATCTCTGTAACAATAGCTTTAAAGATGAAGAGCAATCAACAACAACGAATTCCACAAATCATTGAAGGGGGAAGAATTCATCAGAGAATAGGGAAAAGAGATTATATACAAAAAAAAATGAACAGAGAAAAGGGAAGCATTAAATCGAAAAAGGGTTTAACTAAAGGGGTTTGGGGAGGAAGGTTTTGATAGGACCCTGTGGGGGTTCAATTGCCTTCACGATTTCCGATTGCCTTCTGAAACTCAACGATTTGAAGCCCTGAAATCCTTTGTGGGGTGAGATACATGGAGCGAGAAACAGAGAGGGGGAGAACTTCCAAGTCATAAATGAATTTGAATTCACCATCTTCTACCTGGGTTTTGTATGGAATTTTTGAGTTCTGATGAAAAGCAACGAAGAGAGAGAGACTTTTCATTTTTTTAATTATTAAAATGAATAAATAATTATTAAAACTTTAAAAAATGACTTTAGAAATTGAAAATAAATACCCAAGGTATTAAAGTCATTTTAGTTTACAGAGGGACCAAATTCGCAATGAAACTAGCTCAAAAGGACCACGAACCCAAAAAAATTGGGGTTTGGACTAAAACCCCAAAAAAATGCATACCACATGGACAATTTTTGCAATTTTGTCTTAATAATATATAAATAATTAATTTAGTTATTATTTTATATTAGTTTTTTTCTAAGTTTTTATAAAAAATATAAATAAAGAAATAAAAAGTCAAATTAATAATATGCAAATAATTATATTAGTTATAGTTCTATAATAGTTTTTATAAAGTTTTTATAAAAAAGTATATACATAAATAAATAAAGTTAATATTTTAGAAACAACTTTACATATGAAAAAAGATATTAGAAATTGTACTTTTTGTATGGTTGGGATGGTTTAAGTTTCATCATGATAATTAATAAGGCTATTTGGAGTGGAGGGTGGATTCATGTGTGAAAGTCTATGTGGCAGTCCAAGAGATGCGAGAACACAGTCCCAATGTCTAGTGGTTTGACTGCGGCGTCTCCATGAAGACGGAGAAAGACACCCAGTAGGAAAATGGCAGCAACATCCGTCCTCTTCTTCTTTTTTTTTTTTTTTTTTTTTTTATTGACCACGAACCCACGAGTGAAACCATTTCAACACACTGATGAGTTGGTTGTGAAATGGTAAAACATCCACGTGTCCTTCTTTTCGCATATAAGCCACTCGTGACATACCCCACAGCCTTAATTGCAATTTCCAAGTGGCAATCTCTTTGCAGACTTGTTGGCTAATCTACCCTATATCTGGTCCAATTACTCCCTCTTCTCTGTATCTCGCTATCTTTCTCTTTTTTTCTCCTAAACAATATCATAATAACGAATACTCAAGTAATGCAAGATGCGGCACTCGCTTTTCTCATATTCTGCATCGGATTACAGTTAGTGGTATGCTTTTTACACCCAGAATCTCCTCCAGGCAAGTCTCTCTCTCTCTCTCTCTCTCTCTCTCTCTCTCTCTCTCTCTCTCTCTCTCTTCTCTCTCTCTCTCTCTCCTCTCTCTCTCTCTCTCCTCTCTCTCTCTCTCTCTCTCTCTCTCTCTCTCTCTCTCTCTCTCTCTCTCTCTCTCTCTCTCTCTCTCTCTCTCTCTCTCTCACACACACACAGAGTCAGGATCCCGAAATGGATACGGAAATTATGCATACTCACTTAATGACTTTTGATAAAATATTGTGATTCACCTCCTGCGTATGCAGATGAAACATACCTTGGGTTGACATACGAAGCCACCGAATTCTCTCCAGAACAAGAATACGATTACATCATTGTTGGAGGGGGGACAGCAGGTTGCCCGTTAGCTGCCACTTTATCTGAAAAGTATTCGGTACTTCTTCTTGAGCGAGGTGGTGTAGCCAATTTAGATCCGAATGTTTTATATGAAAATAACTCCTTAACTACCCTACTAACTGCAAATAATAAAGATTCACCCGCTCAAAACTTCATCTCTGAAGATGGTGTACTAAATACAAGAGGGAGGGTATTGGGAGGTACTAGTATGATCAATTTCGGGTTCTACTCGAGAGCTGATGACTACTTCTACAAAAATTCAGGAATAGAATGGGACACCAGTGCTGTTGAAAGAGCCTATGAGTAGGTAGAAGATAGTATTGTAACTCGTCCCGATCAATTAGGTAGGTGGCAAGCTTCCACGTTGAATGCGTTACTAGAATCAGGAGTTGATCCTGCAAACGGGTTCACCCTCGACCACCTTCAAGGCACCAAGATTAGTGGTTCGACATTTGATGATTCTGGGAGACGACATGGAGCAGTTGAGCTACTCAATAAAGCAAACCCTGAAAACTTAAAAGTGGTAGTCCATGCAACAGTTGATCGGATCATCTTCTCCACCTCTAACTCATTAGGTAACAAAATTTTCACCTTTTCGTCTTATATATTGATCTTGTAAAACTGAATAGATTATGTTAAGAAGCTAGTTAGTTTCTAAATACTATAAACTAAAGTATCGACTCTAAATATTTGCGTTGGTTTCATGAGGAATAGCGGCTACTGGAGTGACATACCATGATTCAAAGGGGACGAATCATGAAGTCCATGTAAGAAAAAACGGAGAAGTGATTTTGAGTGCTGGGGCTCTAGGAAGTCCACAACTTTTGCTAGTGAGTGGTCTCGGACCAGTTTCATATCTTTCGTCTTTGAATATTCCAGTTGTTAGCGATCATCCGTTTGTGGGGCAGTTCATGGCTGATAATCCACGCACAGGAGTTAATCTTTTGGTCCCAGTCATATTACCTGATGTAGGAGTAAGGGTGGTTGGGATAGCAAAAAGTGGCCCATACATCGAGTCTTCTGTAGTCCCTCGACTTACACCTTCGATAAACTTTATACCATTCTTGGGTTCACTTCCGCCTTTAATTAACTTAAGTATAGTAATTATTGGTGGAAAGGTTACAAGACCGTTGTCAACTGGTTCACTACATCTAATATCACCATATGATGTGCACGTTAGCCCAAGTGTTCGTTTTAATTACTACTCTCACGCCGAAGATATATTACAATGTGGTAACGCTGTTGAAGTACTTCGAAAGTTTTTGGAAACTCGGTCAATGGAAGAATACAAGTTTAGTGACATCTTTGGTGGAAAGGATTTCAAATATCTTGGGCCATCATTACCTGAAGATCCATCCGATATGGATTCCATTGCGACTTTCTGTCGTGAATCATTGTCAACATTTTGGCATATCCATGGTGGATGCTTGGTTAACAAGGTGGTTGATAGTCATTTGAAAGTCATCGGAGTTGATTCTTTACGAGTGGTTGATGCTTCAACGTTCTTCAACTCACCGGGAACAAATCCTCAGGCTACACTTATGATGTTAGGTCGATACATTGGTGTGAATATACTTAACGAGAGAGCAGCAAATGACATACATTCTTGATCTCCTTACAATTAAAGATGGTGTTGTGTTTAATTTATGTTGCAAAAGAATCTGTGTAATGTTGTAGTTTTTATATATTTGTACACCCTTCGTCTGATAGTCTAGAATACTTCAATGTATTATTCTTTTGTATCATCCAGCCCATGTATTTGTTTCAGGCCTTATCCATGTATTTGTACTATATATTGTTTCAATTAATGAGAACCGACGTATGAAAATTATACACACACTACTACAAAACCTATTTAATAGTGTGATAGGTTTTGTTTTTTTTTTTTTTTTTTAATGTGGTAGTAGCATTAAACCGCATCATTAAATTATTTTCGTACTAATAAATTACGAAATCGCACCATCAAATATATTTGTTGATGCAGTTTCTATAAAACTGCATTAACAACCATTTATTAGTGCGTTTACATCAAAATCACATTAGTAAACATTAAGTTCCCTCCTAATATTTGGTTCCTAGCGGTGCTTCCTAAAGGTTTGTGATGATCGGATACACTTCAAGTATGAATAAGAAACATAAAACTAATCTAAGCAAAATAATCAACAGAAAGTAAATAGCACAGAAGTTCTCCAAATTGTTCATTTCACAAAGAAAAGAGGTTTTGTCTTCACCAAGAAGACGAGTTTGTCACAAAGACAATTGACACAGAGCCACAATAAAAAACTATCATGACCACAACCACCACAACATTAGGGTTTTCCGTAATGTTGTATATATACTAATCTATACATGTATATCTCATGATTGACGTGGTTGTATCTAATCTATACTAAGAACCGATCATATCACAAGATACCGGATCTGTGATCTATTATATATTTATCTATATCATTAACTAATATACACAGAATTACAATCAGATAACTATATTGTAAGTTAACGATGATAAACTTTATACGTTGGCGCTGACAATGTGCAGATGTTGACGCTGATAGATCAGATTGTCATGTATTCGACTCATCTAATCAAAAGGTGTGATCTTACAATCTCCCCCTATCTGATGATGTCAAGACTAAACGTCTTCTTATATATAAGTGGAATGCGGAAGGCTTTTAGTTTGTGCTCCCCCCTGAGAAGATGAATGACTGATCAAACATTTATGAATTGCATCAGACAACGGGCGAATAGATAATGAGCTTGAGCTGAGCTGAGAACATTGACATCATCTTGATCATCTTGACTCGACTCCCCCTTAGAATGTACTTTTCTGCAGTTCTAGTAGCACTATTTCTTCAGCGAGATTCAGTTTTACCAAGATTCTCTCCCCCTTTTGACATCAGTAGCTAACTTCGAGCAGAATAGAGTTTCAACTTGTAGTCTAGTAAGATTGTGATGTCTCCTGATAGCGTAGGCTTAAACTACCAGTTACTGAAATAGTATTTCGAGATCTCATCAGCGTGTGGTGTCATACATTGAATCAGAAATCTCTTTTATTAGAAGAAAAATGGCAAGAATGGATAGGTGCATGTAATATATCATGAACAATGATATACTTATCGGCACAGACTTTTGAACTTTTACCAGTGTGTGGTTTTACACAATGAATCATCAAGCTCTGTTAAGATGATAAAGGAGAGAATGGATTGTTTCAGTCACGCTGAGGTGAAATCAGTGTGAATCATTAACAGTTTAACTCATTAACAAGAAGTGGTTTAAACTTTTGTATCTTAGAGTAAGTTGCAATCTAGAATCAAAGATTCACTGTTAATTCATAAAGGTACCATGTCATACCTCAAACTAGGAGTTCAGAGACATGAACAACCCTTTATCATTTAAGGACCTGACAAGTATCTCTTACGCTGATAACTATGCAATCAGGGTAAGCCATTGGGTTATGCTCAATGTTTTAGTAGAACATGAGACTTGATGTATACGACAAACATGCTTCTAGGGACAGAATCAGGTAAAGATGATTAAATTAAAAATAAACACCCTAGAGAGATTTTGTCACATATAGTGCTAAACAATCAAACGTGAGAGATTTTGTAACATACAACAACATGCTTCTAGGGATGATGATGTGTTAAAAGTTGCATACTACGCTCAAAATTGCCACCATCAGATTTTTTTTATAAAAATGGTACAAGATAAGAAAACAAGAAAATAGTTGAAAAAGGGAAATATCTGCAGCTTTTTTCAGAAATGTGATAACGGCTTGTTCCATCAAATATCTGGAATTGAATGGTCATTAATACACTTCCATTTTTCGAGATATCTACCCTTGAAGTTTCAGTTATAAAAGAGAACAAATAAGATCAACCATATCACACAATAACACAATTCACAATATATCACAAGTAACGAAGCCTTTTATTATTGAAGCGTCACAGATGGATTCCAAGCTTCATCAGGAGCAAGAGAAAAGTAGAGATTAGTCTTTGTAACCAACGAGTTAACTGACTTGAATCCATAAAACCATTGTATCCTCAAGATCAACACGAGGCCATTTGAGGTTTTATCGGATTATGAGTCAGTAGATGAAAACAAGACTTATTGCATTGATGGTTTCTCTTTGCATCCATAATAGTGAGTGAAGGAGAAAGAGGGTATCCTCAAGAGGAAAAGGACACGATGCCACTCTTTTTCTCAACACTAAGAGCATTGAGATCCTTCAAGACAACTCCAGTCCTTACAAATTCTGAAGCAATAAGATGTAGATAAATCATAGATAGTCTTGAAAGAAAATACATGTAAATACTAAATGTAAGATTTTTCATTCATAATAAAAGAAGCACTTGTTTGTTTTTGAGTTTTTTCATAAGACTGAAAACAGCTAATTATCGATTAAGCTATAGAAAGCATGTCTGGATCTACAATTAATTTGTTTAAACCCTTTTCATCCAATGCCTTGGTGAAGATGTCAGTCAGCTGATCAGTGGATGGAATATAGAACAATTCTACTTTTCCCTTTTGAACTGTGTCCCTGATGACATGATGGTGAATGTCGATGTGCTTGGTCTTGGAATGTTGCACTGGATTTTGTATTATCTGAATAGCACTGGTGTTGTAAGAGTAGATGAGTGTCTTAGAGAAGTTTAGACCATCATCCAAGAGTTGATTCTGTATCCATAGAATCTAAGCACAACATCTTCCAACTACAACATATTTAGCCTTTGCAGTACAACAAGCCACTGATGTCTGCTTTTTGCTGGACCAGCTTACCAATCTATTTCCAAGCATTTAATCTCATCCTGAAGTGCTTTTATGGTCAATGCCACACCCTTCATGATCAGAATCAGTGTATCCCACCATCTTGAACTCAGAGTCACGAGAATACCATAACCCGAGATTGGGTGTATGTTTTAAGTATCGAAAGATCCTTTTGACAGCGTGAAGATGATATTCCTTAGTACTAACTTTATAGCGAGCATAGAATATGGTGGAAAACATAATATCAGGGTGACTGGTTGTAAGCTAGAGTAGAGAGCCTATCATTCCTCGAAACAGAGTTGCATTCACATTAGTGTCACTTGGATCAGCACCAATAGACGCTGATGAAGACATCAGAGTTTTTCCTAGATTTCCATCGTTTCCAGCTCGTGTTTGCATTCATTAATTTTTTATGGATTCTTAACTTTGATACATTAATTCTATCAAATTTATCGAAAAATCACGATCAAATTTTTTCTTTTTGCTTCCTTAAACTTAAAAACGAGGCAAACAAACTTCGACAAGTTAATTCAATCATGTTCAAGGGAGAAGCATGATTGGATTTTTGACTTTTTACGCGAAACTTCATTTTTCCTTGATTAAAACGGCTTCCAAGCATTCCCCAACATCCTCTATAAGCTCCAAGCTCCAATTTGGCTCCAATGCTTCATCAAACACATCCCCATGGTGTCATAATCTCAATTCGTGCTAATTTGCCCTGAAAATCATAACGGAGTAGTATGGGCATTCTATGAAAAATAATGAGAAATACGTAATTCATAATAAATCAAGGGGAATAGCTAGCATTTTATAAGAAAACATTGACAAAAACGTGCTAATAGATGCATATAAAATGCAACTAACACCTAGCCTTGAATATTAATTTGGGTTAAAAGATTAAGGATTTATATCAAATAACTAAAACTATCTCTCTTATTATAATATGTCTGGAAATGGTGATGCTCGTACTACTTAAACCTCCTCTCAAAACTCAAACTTCACTCTTTTGTCAATTTTTTCGAAGGAAAAGCTCACTGGTCTAAACTACATGGATTGGATGTGCAACTTGAAGATGACTCTTCTCTACGAGAATAAAGAGTATGTTCTCGATCACCCTGTTCCTGAGATTAATGAGTCGACTGCTACTCCTGAACAACTTGTTGCTCATAATAAACATGTTGAACACGCCAGTAAGTTCGCTTGCATCATGATTGCAACTATGGCACCTGAGCTACAAAATTTCTATGAGGACTACTGGCCACATGAAATAACTGTGGATCTTGTTGAAAAGTTTCAAAAAAAGGCAAGACAAAAGCGCTATAAGGTCTTCAAGTCCCTAATGACGTGTAAGCTAAAGGAAGGATAATATGTTTGTGCTCATGTGCAAAGGATACAAAGATATGTGGAGAGTTTGGAAAACTCAATCTGACTTTCGATTAGGATTTAGCCATTGATATGGTCCTTAACTCCCTACCTGCTAGTTATGGTCAACTAATCGTGACTTATCATTTAAACAAAATATTAACCATATTGACCCACTCCACAACTTGTTGCAAACTGCTGAATCGGGAATGAAGAAAAATCATGTCCCTTCTACGACAAGTGCTCCTGTCCTGGCCAGTGGTCATGGAAAAAGAAATAAGAAGAAGGCAAGCTCCCAACCCAGTTGGAAAGGGAAAGCCGATGCTGGAGCGTTTGGCAGTGGGTCAAAGGGAAAGCCTCACTTTGATGTTCCTGTTTGTCAGTGATCTAAAGTAGGCCACTTGCTTTCACTATGGTGAAAGGGGGCATTGGAGAAGAAGCTTCCCAAAATGCCTAAAAGAGTTAAAAGAGGGGAATA